ATCTATAGCGGCATCATAGATGCACTGTGGCACAGCAGGTAGAGCTGCCACCTTCGATGCTGGCATCCCATGTGGGCACCGTTTGTGTCCGGCTGCTGCACTTCCGATCCAGCTCCCTGCTAATGGCCTGGGTAAAGCAATGAAAGATGGCACAAGTGCTTGGGCCCCTGCCACACATGTGGGAGACACAGACGAAGCTCCTGGCTCCTGGCTTCAGCCTGGCCTAACACTGACCATTGCTGCCATCTGGGGAGTGAATCAGCAGGACAAAGATCTATCTCCCCCCTCACTCCCCCCCCACAATTCTGACTTTCAAATAAAGAAATAAATGTTTTAAAAATGAAAAATCTTATCCATAACAGTCTTCCCATAGAGGTAACTCAGAACAACTTGGGACTGGATTTTAAAGTTGAAGAATTTATTCATTCCTTATAAAATTATAAAAATGACCATGCTTTAAACACCTTTTGTTCTCAGGCTTTGTAATATAAGGGTATTTCTAAAAGTTATTGTAAAAAAAATTTAACAACAAATTTTGCTGTGAAAAATTTTTGAAATCCCATGCATATTTTTCCATAATATGCCTTTTTTGCAAACTTTTTGAAGATCCTTCATATGTGTGTATTATCTCATTTAATTCTTGCAATAACTTTATAACATGGACACCACTATTATCTCCATTTTACAGACAAAGAACTGGGAACCAGAAAAGTGAAGCAATGGTCCCAGGAACATATAACTACCCAGTGGCAGAGCTAGAATTCAAAGGAGAGTTGCTCTGACTTCACAGCTCCAGCCCTTAGCAATGATCCGCTGGTGTGGGGAAAGGTTGCTAAACTGATGCCTTCCTTGTACAGTTCCGGCACCTCCAAAGCCACCAGACAATATCAGAAACACTTTCTGTAGACCAATTCTTAAACTGTAGTGCACACCAGGATCACTCGGAGGGCTTGCTAAAACAGACTGGTAGGCCCCAGTAGGAGATTTTCTGACTTGCCCATGAAAATTTCTAGGGCAGGCCCTGAACATCTGTATTTCTAACAAGTTTCCAGGTAGGGTAGCAGGTGCTGCTCCTCCAGGAACCATCCTTTGGCAACCACAGTCTAGCCGCTGGGAACTTAGGTTCTCTGAGTCATATTGTCTTAGTGGCTTCCTCCATCTAATTAACCTCTCACTTTTCTGTCTGAGATCTCCTGGGGTCTTGCTTGATAAGATCATGTTATCTGTGGCAATTGCTGTGTATTTTCAAATTCCCTGAGCTCTCTTGAAAACAGTGAGTATGGTCATCCCTCTGTATCCACAGGGGATTGGGTTCACGAGCCCCCACCCCCCAGGACACCAAAACCTGCTGATGCTCAAGTCTCTTTGGCTTGAGATTTGCATAGAATCCAAGCACATCCTCTCCTGTACTTTAAATCAACCCTGGACTACTTGTAATACCTAATACAATGTAAGTGCTACACAGAGTTGTTACCTTGTGTTGTTCAGGGAATAATGACAAGAAAAAAGTCTGTACATGTTGAGGATAAACATCATTTTTTCCCAAATATTTTTGTATGATCTGCTGTTAAGTGAATTCACAAAGAACTGTCAGACATGGAAGGCCAACAGGATCTCCCACTGTAAAAGACTCAGAGTAGGGCCAGCACTGTGGCACAGCGGGTTAAAGCCCTGGCCTGAAGTGCCGGCATCCCATATGGGCGCTGGTTCTAGTCCCGGCTGCTCTTCTTCCCACCCAGCTCTCTCCTATAACCTGGGAAAGCAGTAGAAGATGGCCCAAGTCCTGGGGCCCCTGTACTCGTATGGGAGTCAAGGAAGAAGCTCCTGGCTCCTGACTTTGGATCAGCGCAGTTCCGGCTGTTGTGGCTATCTGGGGAATGAACCAGCGGATGGAAGACCTCTCTCTGTGTCTCTACCTCTCTCTGTAACTCTGTCTTTCAAATAAATAGAATAAATTAAAAAAAAAAAAAAAAGAGCTCACGGTAGCCTTCGGTAAGCCCTGAAATCTCATGAAACACAGAAAGGAGAAACTCGGAAGAGCTAGGAGCAGGTAGTTCGGCAGCTTGGACCACTGAAGCCCCACCAGTTCCCTGGCAGCCAAGGGCGGTCTTTATAACCTCTCAGGATTCCCTCAGGGACAGATCACAAGTGCACGTTCATTAAAACCTCCTCAGGGCATTCACAAAAAGAGCTGTGTCCTGAGTGACAGGTCCTTTATGCCCCTCCCCCAAACCACAGTCCTCCATCTGAGGAAGGGGCTGTAACTAGTCCATGCAGTCCCTGTTTAGCTAATGTTCTCTCTCTGCTCCATCTCACGGGAAAGCAGAAAGCATTAAGAAAGTCCCAGACCTGGGGCGGCCAACAAAAGAGGTGAGGCTGGATGGAGACAGGGGCCGGTGACCAGGACTAAGCAATTTAATGCCTGACTTGTCTGTCCTGCAGAAGACGTCACCTGGTGGTGCCCTCACTGAGCCCAGGCTTTTGCAGGCTGTGGAAATAAATGAGCAGTTTAGTAAGGAAGCAAAAGAATTCATCAATGGGGAAAAACAACGGAAGGAACAGGCTTGAATGTGGATCAGTGCAAAGCAGGCCCCAATCCTTTTAGGCCCTGGCTGCAGCTGTCGCAGGTGCTGGCAGGGGGAGAGCAGCAGACAGCTGGTTCAGGGAGGGGCTCAGGCAGAGTGAGGAGGCTCCGGCACCAGAAAGGAGCCTCTGGAAGCCACTGTGTCTTCACAAACACCAAAGGCAACAGAATCAGGGAATGGCAGGCTCAGTCTGCAAACCGAAACAACCAAACGTGGGGGCAGCATTTTCCTTTTCTTCAGGGAGCAACTAACGTGCCCTCCTCACTCCAGCTCCGGGAGCACAGCTGGATGGGGGAACTGGACTGTGAGATGTCAGGTGGCTCAAAAGCCTGAATCTGGTCCTGGAAGTGAGAACTACTGAACCCTGGCCACCAGGTTATCAGTCAAGGCCAAATCACAAATTGCACAAAACATTGCTGTCCCAGAGCAAAAGAAGTAGGATGATTATACATTCACTAATACCAAATGTCAAGCACTACATTCAGCCTTTTTTCTTTTCCTCCTTTAGTTCTCACTGCAACTCGATAGGGGCTTTTATTTTTATTGTACCCAATTTACAGGAAGGATAATTAATAAAATATGAATTTAAACTGTTTGTCTATGCTTACCCAGCAAGTGGGTTTGGGATTGGAATTCATTTTCCATCTGACTCCAACCCATAATCTTAATCTTTATGGCATATTCCCTCTAATCAGTACAGAACATATTTTCAGTTGTAAAACCTAAAAATACCAAAAAGGACAGAAAGCAGAGAATTCTTTTACCTTCATATCACTGGTACAGAGGCATGCTGGAAAGCAGGGTTGGGCCATCGTGGGGCTGCTGGGAAACGTAAGCTCTGTCCAGTGCAGTCCATGGAGGCTGCAACTCACGCATCAGCAGCCAGGCTCAGTGCTGGACAGGAGGAACTGCACAAACTAAGTAGGGGAGGGGAGCAGTGGAGACCCTTTCCCTATTGTCTCTCAGGCAGATGGACTCCTAATGCCCTTTTTTCCATTTGAAAGGCAGAGAGAGACAGAGAAAGAGAGCGAGGGAGGGAGAAAGATTGCCTGTTGGCTGGTTTACTTCCCCAAGCTCAGCCTGCATCTCCCACACAGGCGGCAGGGACCCAGGTACCTGAGCTGTCTCCTGCTGCCTCTCAGGATGTGCATTAGCTGGAAGCTGGAATTAGGAGCAGAGCCAGGACTTGAATCCAGGCACTCATATGAGATATGGGTGTCCCAAGTGGCATCCTAACTGCTACAGCAAATGTCTGCCCCCTGACATGCTTTGGAATCTGAAGGAGACACGTGGGCCAGATGCATGAAACAACCAATAGATGTTTCCTATTTCACATTTGCCTAAGGAATACACATCACCCAGCATCATAAATGAGAGGGAAAGTGTATTCAGTTAGTTCTTGGCTCACTCATCTGTAGTGACTCTATGAGAACAAGAAAAATCCTTGCAATGAATGCCAGGAAGCAAGGCATGATTGCGAGAGCTGCTCTGACTGAGTGCTCTCAACTTTTCAGATGCCTCCCCGTCCTGCAACACTGGGCAATCTAAAACGACTTCCTCCTCCATTACTGCTTCACTCCACCACTGGCACTGGGGTTGCAGATTTCTCAATGAACTATTTTATGTTCTTCCCCTTGCCATCTGGCAATATTAGCTCTCTAATGAATTGCTTCAATTGGTGCATTTTTTTCAACAAATGTGACTTTTAGTTGAATTGTGCAATATTTATAAATAGCAAATTTTGGCTGATTATGATCAACAAAAGCCTTTAGAGTTGCCAACAAAAATGGGCCCTTAGCTGCACATCTTACTTGGATAGCCTAAATATTGGAAAAGCACCTGATTATTTTTAGAAAGGATTTTTCACATGCACATTTCTGTGTCATCTGTTATGTGTGTGTAAATGTATTTGAACTTGGATGGATTCTTATAAGCCAGCCGTGCTATGAATGTGAGTGCTAGATACACTTGCATTTGGAGCTAGAAACACCTGGGTTGGAATCCTACCTTTGCCACTTGCACGTTATGTGAACTTGAGTACGTTTCTTAACCTCCCTGTATCTCCAATATCACACATGTAAAACATACATAATAAATCTCATGCAAGATTGTCATATGGAGTAATTGAGTCTATATTTGTGGTAACTTGGTACAGTGTCTATGCATATTATGGCTTGATAATTAGTAACTACTCCCATCACCAGGGTGTTCTAGTAGCAGAAGGTAATGGTAGACATCGCTGTGAGTTATGCCAAACCATAGTCCTCCCTTCCTGAAAACTGCCACAGGGATGGACTTCCAAAGCCATGTTTTTATTAAATGATATTGCTTTAGTGATTGAACAAGAATAAGGGAGCTAAGAATGTATGAGTTTAAGTAATTTTCCTTTGCTCACCTAGCTATTTTTTTTTTTTTCCAGCTTGGCACATTGTCTTTCTTGAAGGTTTGGATTAGGACCTGCTCCCCAGTGATCCTTGAAAATGAGAAACCGTGAGGTGGTCCTGCTTAGCAATGTGCATGTGAAAGCAATAAAGGTGAGTCTGCAGAACGATGTCAAGGTGCAGAGAGCAGCAGAGCCGACTGTGACTTAAATTCTGTCAGTAAAGCCTTGGTTCTGATCATTTTTTACTTCCGGTGCTGGTGTTGTGGCACAATGGATTAAGCTACCACCGGCAACACCAGCGTCCCGTATGAGCACCAGTCTGAATACAGGCTGCTCTACTTCCAATCCAGCTCCCAACTAATGTGTCTGGGAAAGCAGCAGAAGATGGCGCAAGTGCTTGGGCCCCTGCCACCCACGTGGGAGACCCAGATGGAGTTCCAGGCTCCTGGCTTTGGCCTGGCCCAACCCAGCCATTGCAGACATTTTAGGGAATGATAACTCTCTTTCTCACTGCATGTCCCCTTCTCTCTAACTCTGCCTTTCAAATAAATAACTAAATAAACCCTTAAATTTTTTTTTCAGTTCCACAAGAAAACCCTGCTCATTCATGCTCTGTCTCTCTCTTGCTCTCACTCCCTATCTATTTCCTCTTTACCTACTACTTTGACCAGGTGGATGTCTACTGTTTTCAATGGACAGATCTTTGCAAACAGTGTCATCTCTGTGTATGAGGCCACCAGGTCTTTTCCAAATGCCTTGAGTGGCCTAAGTACTTGAAAAGCTGATTATTTTTACACGCGCTTCACACACCCTTACTCTTACATTACCTGTTGTCGACTCTTGAAGAACATTAAGTGTAAAATCAAAATAATTATGCACATAAGGAAATAAAATACATTTGAGAAAAAGAAAGTCGACAGCCTTGGTCTTACAAAAACAAGTCATCTGATCACTTTAAAGAACCCAAGTGTGAATGGAGAGACCCAGCTCTTTACCTGGTGTCGCACTGGAGACGGTTGGCCACTGCTGATCAGGCCCTCCTGGACCAGCCCGTAGAATGCCGGCCTCCTCCAGGTGCACAGAGCTGAGTAAACACATAGACCCGGATAACAGTTAGACCACAGATGCCTTCCCAGCCCTTAGAAATTGCTTTCATCTCTGGTGGAGGGACTGTAGCTAACACATTCTGCTCCTGCTTCCATTGAAGCAATTACTGCTGAGTAATCACCTTGCATAAACTGCAGCAGCACCACTGACGTACTATCTGCTGTATCATCCTGGCAACCAGCCTCTCCTGTCTTACAGTCACTTTGACTTTCATGACCTGTCACGTGATATTCACTAACTCTAACAGGGTGCCCCTCAGGCGGCAAAGGCCATTTTAACATCTTAGGCCTGAAACTGGTAAGAGCTTGTTCTCAAAAGCCCCAATCTTCTCTTGCAGGTTCCCTTGTTTCCAAGTTGCCTATCACAAAGAAGAAAACCCACCAAAATCATGTTTTGCTTACTGTGGTGCGAGAGTACATCAAAAAGGTCATGGTAAATTCTCAGTATCTTTTTCTCCTATTTGTTCATCAACTTTTTAAAGAACCCTCAGATTGTTTCAGTTTGGCACCCAATCAATTCTCAACCTTATTTTCTGTTTTTCTTTTCTCTGCCTTTTATGCCTGAAGGACCCACGCTGCACTTCCTGGGACTACAGGAGCCTAATCGCTACCACTTACACATCCCAGTCCAGAAGAGATTAATTCAGCAAGAAACACTGCCGGGAATGACACGTGGACTGGCAGGCCCTTAGAGGCAAAGAATATGGAACCCACAGCTCAAGGCGGACAGAACACTGCGTTCATTTATGGATGTCTACTACTATCACACAGTAGACTCTCATCTATTTTTTTTAGATGAGTGAATAAACAGCCTATAAGGGTCAGTATCCAAGAGAACCCTCATCAAAATTAGAAGATGCTTTAAACTAGACACTTGTTTACCTTGCAAATGAAATCCCTAAAACAGACTAAACTCAAAGGGCAAGTAGTCCTGAACACCTGGGTGAAGGGGGAGGTGATCTTCAATATAACTTCAATATTCTCGTGTTCTTTGATTTCAAAGACTATTTTAATAGAAATTCACTCATTATGTTCTGATCTGTTGTTATTTTTCCTTCATCTTTGCCCTAGAATTTTCCTTTTTTTCCCCCAAATAGTAACATCCTTCAACTATTCCTAGATCCTACTAACAAATTATCTAAGGGGTCTCAAAAATTTCATGGAAAACACCTATTATGGAAAAAAAATTACTCATGGATTGAAAACATTTTCACCAAAGTAATCTTATGTTTTAAATCTATTTTCCACAAACTTTTTGAGGTACTTTCATATAAGTTCAATCAGACTCATGAAGATGTAACTCTCTTGGAACCAGCTTAGCTTAGAGCAAGATTTAAAAAAAAAAATGGTTACATGATATCTGAGCTAACCACTTGTGTGAAAGAGATGAGTGTTATTTAACTTCACCATTCTAATCTAAGTTCAATGGACTACATTTTAAGGAAGAAATGCCACTGCAGTTTCAACTTTTATCCTATTTAAAAGTTCATATTTGGAGCTACTTCAAAAAGTTCATGGAAAATAGAATTAAAAGGCTTTTATGGTGCAAAAATTTTTGAAACTTAGCATATATTTTTATGCACATTTTCATGCATTTTCCATGAAGTTTTTGAATATGCCTTGTATACATGGATTTCAAAATATTTTTGCACCAAAATAAACTTCTCTTTTAATTCTATTTCCACAGACTTTTTGACATATTCTAGTATCTTAACTGAGACCTACTGAATAGCAGCCCTTTTTTTCACTTGAAAAAATGACAGGGAAATGATACATTTTAATATTTTAATCTAATGCATTTTAATGGGCTAACATTAATTTTTCATTAACTCTACACACATTTCATGAGCTCTCTGCTTAGAATCTGATCTAGGTTTGGTGAAGATTCACTTAACAGTTGCCTAGAGATTTTGAGAGGTGTAAGTTTGGAGTTTATTTCTTCTTGAAACTTAAATCTTTTTGGTGGTGGCGATCACCAGTGTTTTGGCTCTCCCCATCTGGTTTCTAAAGACATTCACAAATAATGAATCTTTTATTTGGCCCCGTGGCCTGGATCCTAGCTCAGCTCTAGGAGTAATGGTAGCTAATCAATTACTGTCAAAGAGACAAAGTAGAGAAAGCAAAATTATATTTAATCGGAGTCTCAGAGTAATGCTATTACTTTAGATTAATTTAAAAGAAGCTAGATTTGGTCTCCAGATAGTCAATAAAGCATGGGTCACTCTCTCAGGAGCCCATGCCATTGATGACAATAAGATAGCACCAAGAGAGAGAAGATAAGGAGACTCCAACAGGGGTGAACATAAACAAGAATAGCAATCAATTACTGTGGTTAATAGGATGGAATAGTCAATGTGAGATAGGAAAACACCGCAGATGACATGTCCGTTTACACCACACAACGTACCCAAGTCCAAAAGCATCAGTATTAATTCCAGCTTTTAAGGGAGGGACGGGAGACATAGGTGGACAGGGATGAAGCAGTTTGGAATTAGATCCCAGAAGCAATTTTGATGAGACAAAACGCACAGCGGTCTGTCTCTGTGACTTTACTGACGGCTCTTATTTGCCAGCACTTGATGAGCATTTGGCACGAAGCTCTCTCAGCTTTTCAAGGAACAGTCACGGAGACAAAGATGACCGCATTCCCCCGGCAGAGTACCTAAAGCTCCTCAGTTACGATGGCTGCTGCGGCCTACAGAGACGCAGGTGATTTGCACCAGAGCAAGCTACTGCCGAGGGAGGGAAGGCGGGAACACGTACCTGTGCATGCCTGCTCTCAGGGAGGCTGAGTAACGCCAGTCAGGGTTCGGCTGCCGAGGCTGCAAAATCACAAAGGGAATTTTCTGTTAAAATGGCAAAAAAAAATGCTCCCCGGGGCAACTGTTCATTGATTAGCTGCTCCCTAAATATTTTCAGGCATTCAAAGACATACTGAATGAGCCATTTTCTGTGCAACTCAAAAATCATATCCACATACACATAGTGTTTTAGGAGAAAATTAAATTAGCTCATCAGGGTCCTCACAGAGAAAACCAGATCTCACAATGTTGTAAGGGCCAGCTTTGGTTTTGCCTCGCTAGTATGGATCTGTGTTCTTAAAACACAGGAAGAGTAGTTTGTCTTGAGACAGGAAAAGCGTTCACGGTTGTGCCCTCAGATGCCCCATTAAGGCAACTTCCTCCATTCAGGACTGCAGCTAGCACAGGGCACGCGAGGGACCACACAAGTCCTGCCAGCCTGGCTGGACTGCAGAGGACTGCAATCCGCTGCTGGCTTTGCAGACTGCAGCAGGTTTGGCCCAGGACGGAAGCGCCCGGTCGTAACACCAGCCACTGATAGCGGCTCTGCTCCTGCCTGAAGAGGAATACTTGAGGGAGAAAAACAAACCACTACAGACTCTGACCTTGTTGTGCTACCTAATCCTCTTCATAAAATCGCACTTGCTCCCTGCTCCTCTCTGCTTTCTCACTCAATTACTGTTTACTGAGCTCGGAGAGCTTAACAGGAGAAGCTGAAATCCAAGAAGACTGACTCACTCTGCACCACCTGTGGGCTGGGAAGATTTGTTGTCCTCTCGCCACGAACTGTCAGTCCAAAGTGGAGGGCACAGAGAGGAAAATACGGGCAACCAGAGACTCTTCGGGGAATTACGTGCTGTTTAGAAGCTTCTCAGAGTCACTGGGGCCAAAGTCAGTCACCACCAGGATCTTGTGCCAATTTGCAACAACTTTATGATGAAAAGCTTGTGGTAGACTTTCTCTACATGTGTTTTCACAGATGAGGATTAAGGTGGTCCTGTCGCTAACATTGCAGTCTAGTCGAGTGGAAAGATGGGGGGTTGCAGACTGAATATTCCTCTGGGTAACACCTATCATATCTGGCAGACACAAATCCACTAAAATACCAATAAGCTATTTCAAATTGTCAATCATTTTTCTTCCTATTATTCTCATAGTTCATTCAAGGATGCAAAATATTTCACAAGCACACTTCTTCCTAAGAGCCAGGGAGAAGCAGAGCAGCACCCCGACTTTCAGATAGATGTGGGGGTGGCATTCAGAGATTCAGTCCCAAACAAGGCTCAGAAAAGGATACTTTATCTCACAGGTGCCCACATACCGACCTGCCCGGCCTGGTCCTCTTCCACGCTGCTGGCAAGACAGGAAAGTGCAAGCTGCTTCACCCTTGGTTTAAGTTCACAAAAGGCTACATAAAGTAGCATAAAACTCTCTACAGACCAAATGAATGGGGTTCCCATTTACTATCAGGGGTGTTAGAGGCAACACAAGAGAAAACATTTATCAATCATTTTTACAAACCCTGAAATACGGCTGAAGTACTTTATATCAACCATGATTATCACCATCTTACCACCAGCAGCAGCAGCAACAGGGTTAGCCTGTCAGTTAAGAGAACTTTCCTAGGAGAAAGACATCTGTTGAGTAAATGTTGCCAATCTTTCCACAATTGGGTAACATTCCTGATGAAAATTGCTTCCTCTTGATCTTCGGAATGAGATCACCAGCCTCATTTTGCTGAAAGGCCCAGTTCTAGTGGGACTGACTGGGAAATTCAGTTTATCACACAATCTCCCTTCCCCAACACACATTTAATTTGGCATGCTGCTATTTTCTGTAATAGTCCATCAGCAGCAGCATGCTTCTCAGATTCATTTGCCAGAATCCTAGTTACGAGATTTCTTATGGCAATAAGATCAGATGGGGAAAAGCAAAGAAAGAAAGAAGTTAATACGTTTTAACCAGTTACACAACACTAGACAAGAGGATAAGCACTTTAGACACAATGGTGTATTTATCCTAATTCTTTTTTTCTTTGTTGGACCATAAGCTCTATGAAAGGACTGTATCAGCTGTGTTAATAAGACACAAATATCCTCAGATATTTATAAATGCATAGCTATACTTTCAAACCTTATCACATCCTGGCATTTGGAAATATTAAAATTTTAGCATTTAAAAAAAATGTTTCCAGAGGTGGCACTGTGGCTCAGCAGGTAAAGCCACCTTCTGCAGCACCATCCTATTTGGGTGTCGGTCTGAGTCTTGGCTGTCCCACTTTCTATCCAGCTCCCTGCTAATGTGCCTTGAAAAGCAGCAGAAGATGGTCCAAGTTCTTGGGTCCCCTCACCCACATGGGAGACCAGGAAGAACCTCCTGGCTCCTGGCTTCAGATTGGCGCAGCTCTGGCTGTTGCAGCCATCTAGGGAGTGAACTAGGGAATGAACCAGAGATGAAGACCTCTGTCTCTGTCTCTCACTAACTCTGCCTTTCAAATAAATAAGTAAAATCTTTTTTTAAAAAAATAAATTACAAAAATAAGAAATCTAATCTTTAGAGAGACTAAAGTTTTCACCTCATTGATGAGTTTGGCTGATATTTACATTAGGGCTTCCTAACAGGAAAGTCTGTGTTTTAAATAAATTCGCATGCAATGGGACATTTTTCTTTTTTCTTTTTTTTAACTTCTGAGTGTCCCAGATATTGATTGACTTTTTTATGACATGGATTTATTTTATTTATTTAAAAGGCAGAGTTACAGAGAGAGAGAAAGGGAGAGAGAGAGAGAAAAATCTTCCATCCACTGGTTTACTCCCCAAATGGCCACAACAGCTGAGGTTGGGCCAGACCAAAGCCAGGAGTTAGGAACTTCATCTGAATCTCCCACGTAGGTACAGGGGTCCAAGGCCATCTTCTGCTGCTTTCTCAGGTGCATTACCAGAACTCTGGATCAGAAATGGAGTAGCCAGGGTTTGAACCAACACCCACATGGGATGCTGGTGTTGCAGATGGTGGCTTAATCCATTACACTACAGTGCCAGCTCCTATAACATGGAATTTTAACATTTTTATTTTTCTTTTTATTTTAGGGAGACACACACACACACACACACACACAAAGAGAGACAGATAGGCAGATCTACCATCTGCTGGTTCACTCCCCAAATGCCTACAACAGCCAGGGCTGGACCAGTCCAAAGCCAGGAGCTTAGAACTGAATTTGGGTCTCTAATATGAGTGGCAGGGACCCAAGTACTTGAGCCATAACCTGCTGCTTCCTGGGGTGTGCATTCGCAGGAAGCTGGAATCAGGAGTGGAGCCAGGACTTGAAACCAGGCACTCCAATATGGGATGCGGGGTCCTAAGTGCTGCATCCTAAGTGCCCACTGTAATTTATTTTAAAACAATACAAACAGCAGTAAAACATATGTGGGTTTCATCCAGAGCTTGATTAAACTTGGAAAAATTCAAGTTTAAAGGTTCACTACTGATAAATCTGACATAATGAGATGTTGATAAGGCCTGGTCTCCCTGATGGCTTCGTTGTCTAGTATTGGAGGGCACATCCCTGTACTAGGCTTAATTTCTACTGGTGGAGAACGCCAGTATGCCCTGTTGTAACAAAGTTTACTCTTTACCTAGAACAACTGCCGTGAAATTCTGGATTTGGAAAACACCACCTAGGCAGTCCATACAGCTGATACAGAATTACTTAAGAAAAGAACACATTGGAGATTCTATTAGAATCATAGCAAAGACTTAGTTGATCCTATAATGGTATTGTTTATGATTTATAATGTAGGGTATTTGAACTACAGAGGGATAAATAACTTCTTCTAAGAAGATTTAAAGTAAAACAGATTTTAAAAATATCCTATGTGATGTGGAGGTTAAGGTGCAGGAGGTTAAGCCCCTGTTTGGAATCTTGGAATGCCTGAATGTGGATTAGAATCCTGGCACCTCTGCTGCTTTTTTTTTTTTTTTTTTGAGATTTATTTATTTATTTGAAAGGCAAAGTTACACAGAGAGAGAAGGAGAGGCAGAGAGAGAGAGATAGGTCTTCTATCTGCTGGTTCACTCCACAAATGGCTACAAGAGCTGGAGCCAGGCCGATTTGAAGCCAGGCCTATCTGAAGCCAGGAACTTCCTCTGGGTCTCCCATGGGGGTGCAGGACCCCGAGCAGTTAAGGCAACTTCCACTGCCTTCCCAGGCCATAGGAGAGAGCTGGATCAGAAGTAGAGCAGCCAGGACTAGAACCAGTGCCCATATGGGATGCCAGCACTGGAGGCAGCAGCTTTACCTGCTATGCCACAGTGCTGGCCCCCATCACCTCTGCTTCTGACCCAGCTCCCTAATAAAGCAGCCTCGGAGGCAGCAGATGATGGCTCAGTGTTTGGGTCCCTGCCGCTCATGTGGGAGATGTGGATGGAGTTCTCGTCTCCTGGCTTCGGCCTGGCACAGCCCTGGCTATTGAGATATTGGAAGATATCTTTATCTACCTATCTACCTCCCTATTTCTCTCTCTCTCTCTATTGTGAGATCTCTATTTATCTCTATTGTGCATTTCAAGCACATGAGAAAAGACATTTGAAAAAATACCCTATATTTTCTATAAATACAAATGGCTATTCAGTGAAATAATATGCTATCTCCTTATCATGGAAATTTGTGTTGAAACTATTAATCGGTTGCCCTACAAGACTATTTCTTTTTCTTTCCTAATAAGGCTCTATAAAGGATATATCCACTGCAACTTTTCATGGCGATATGAAAACATTGACATAAACTATTCTAGGCAGAATTCTAAGATAGCCACCAAGATCCCAAAACCAGTGTACACACTCTTCATAATCTCTAATACTGTGAGTACGATGGGTATTATTCTCATTATTACATAATATTATATGCCTCAGTTGGCATTAAGAAGGGGAGTTCATCAAGTTGGGACTGACCTAATCACATGAGCCTTTTAAAGCTGAATCAGGCAGAAGTCAAAGTTGTAAGGCAGAAGCAGGATTCC